CAGGAATCGTCCTGAGGGGTGGGAGGGAACAGTTATCTTTGCTGAGCAAAGACGTTTGTGGAAAAGAATAAACAGTTTGCCTGGGAATAAACAAGTTGCTATTTACCAGTGTGACTCATAGCAGGCCAGTTTTCCAGCCTCAGCTTTCTTATCTTTAAAATGGGAATGTAAAGTAAACTGGGAGTCGCTAAGTATCTTTAGGCTCTGGTTCTCTGAGGCGCTCTCTTGATCCTACCACGAACAGCCAGTGTGCCTGTCAGTCAGACAGCAGTAGATGTGTGTCCACTGTGAGCAGGCCCAGCCTTGTGCTCCCTCGTGACTGCTCTTACGGCTGATAGACACCCCAGGGGCAAGCCCCAGCAGGGGACCTGCTAGATGTGTCCAGCGGAGCTGGAGACCTGAGCCTGCCGGAGGCCTTGCTATGAAGAGATCCTAACAAGGGTGGGCAACGTATGGCTTTGCAGGGGCCCCACGAGGCCGGGAAGTCCGTGCCTTCTCCATTTAGGTACCTCAAGGGCCAGTAGTGCTTCCTGCCCCATAGAACTTCAGCCTCCGCGCAGGTAGGATCAAGACACCATGTCATTGGTCTGAAATTAGCTGGTCTCATCCAGCCAGAGCAGTAGGGTGTCCATAGAGCCTCTGAGCCAGAACTGCCCCAGGGTCCCCCACAGGCCCCAGGTTAGACAAAATGAGGTTGCTCTTCACTCCTGGGTTCCGTCTCAAGGACCGGAGACCCTTGTAGGTTGAGCCTAGTATCTACACCTGGGCAGACAGCATCAGGGGATGTGCTCTCACCATGCACAGGCCTGGCCTTCTGCTCCTGGGGGACTGCCCTCAAGGCTGACACATGCCCCAGGGGTCAGCCACAGCAAGGTGACCTGCTGCTTGGATGTTGCACTCATGAGTCTTAGACTTGAAATAGAGCCTTCTCTGCCTGGCAGCCTGCAGACTGAACTCAGCCTGAGACAACTCTGGCTTCTAGAGCCTTCCTGTGGAGCTTGGTGCAGACTGCCTGGAGTCCATTCCCATCTTGCCTTCTTCCCTTTTGGAAGTGAAAATGGAGGAATCTGACCTCAGAGTCCAGGAAAGTCCACGCTAGGAGAAAAAAAGGCATGAAGAGACAGAAGCAAAGGGGTCTGTGATTCCAGGCGGCAGGAGGAGGAGGAAGGGCTTGTTCATGGCAGTGTGTGTTCCCTTCTAGAAAACGAGCTTTAGACCACCGCCCAGGTCTCTGAGAGCCATTATTGGCGTGACCTTGGCCATGATCAGCAGGCAAAGACTGAGGGAAGAAGTGACTTTGCTTTTCAACATCATTTGAAATACCCCCTTTCCGTAAAGATGGATTTTCTTTATGAAAACCAGTTCACTACTTTTTAATGGTCTTTTTTATTTGGGGGAATTAATTTTTTTTTTTTTTTTACCTTTTTTTCCTTTAATCTTGATAGAGCACATGCATATCCCTGAGGAGGGTGGGTGAGGAAAGGTGGACCTGCCACAGGGTCTGGCCATGCCGCAATCCCTCTCCTCCAGTCCTTGAGCCCGTCAGATCTTGGGCACTTACTCGTGAGCCTTTGGGTGGACCATGGTCACCACCTAGCATCTGGCTTCTCTGGAGCAGCGCATTACTGCTGCACCATGGAGCTGACCCTCATAGTGATTATGAATCAAGATACACTCCACATAAAAAAATGGAGAAACTTCGTCATTCATAACCAACAGAATGTGCTGGAAGGTTCTCAGTAGGCCTGGTCAACCTCTGAAAGGAATGAAGATTTATAATGAATGACAGTTGAAATTATTTCTAAAGGAGAGAAGAAACCTTATCCCCTGTAGCATAGGTCTCTAGGTAACCATGGATGGTGGGGACAAGACTCCACACAGGCCCACATTCAGATGATTAGGGCCAAGCAGCTGGGTTGTGGTCATGGCGGGTTAATCAGAGACTCCAGATCCCGCACTCAGCATGTGCCACTGGCAGCGCCCATGCACATGTATGTGAGGAAAAGGCAGGGGCCTGGGGCGCTCACTGACCTGCCTCGTAGCAGCCTCAGGTCTGATCCCTGAGCTACTTGAAGGGCCAGCAGTGGCCACATCACCCAGTGCCCTGGTCCTCAGCCAGATCCAGAAATGAGATGCAAATCCAAGTGCTGCTCCTTGGAACATTGGCCTGTGGAATCAGAGGCAGCCGGAGATAAAGAAAGCTTGGCGATCAGAAGCCCTGCCCCTGACAAACTGCGAACTTCTGTTCCTTGTCAAAATGCAGGCAGTTACGGCCCTGCACTGCCCGAGAGAAGGAGCCGAGGCGAAGATCAGAGGGCTTTGCAGCCCAGCCACGTGTGGAGTGTGAGGGACTGGTGGCCCCACCTCAGCAGACTGCTTTACCATGGAGGAAGAGCTTCCATGCAAGCCCTTTCCACACCCCCGTGCCATTCTCTCTAAGCCAAGGCTGGCGCAGTTCCCCCACGAGAACCTCTGACATGGAGGCCACAGAAACTCACCCTTCCTCCGGGTGACCACCATGTTTTTCTGGGCTCATTTGGGGATAGTAGGACTGTTTTGAACAAGGGCGCCCTAGAGATCATTTTGTACTTCAAGAACCATCCGTTCCTTTTCAGACTGTTTCTGCTTCGCAGCCACAGGGCCAGCTTGCGTTTCCAATTTCCTGTCCCTTCGCTGCCTCTCCTTGGAAGTCATAATGTGCTGCTGCCCAGACCTGTTCTTTCTGGCTCTTTGTTATAAAATGCCTCTTCCTCCTGTTGAATGCTGATGCTGGGCATTATGTTCCCACAGAGCCACCTGGGTACACTCTGTGGCTGGAGACATCTGTCCTCCTCTCTGTCTCTAGGCCCTCTCTTGAGCCTAGTCCACTCAATGCTAGCTCACTCCATGGTCCACCCTTGCTGCAAGCAGGGACAACCTGGGGAGTCTCCCTGCTGAGGGTGGTGGGGTGCCCACGTGCTCAGTGCATAACCTCCATGCTCCCAGCTTCCTGAAGACCTGTGAGCACCCCACCTGTGGTTCCTTGTTCCTCACCAGCCCCACAGAGGCCTGGGAGTGGTGACTTCAGGCTCTGCAGTGCCAGCTCGTGTCTGACCTCGTCCTGTCCTGTTCCTGCCTGCGTAGTCTGACCCGCACCCTTTGCTTCATTCCTGTCATCACTTCTTCTTTCCCGAGCTTTCCCGTGCCCAGTGCCCTGCCAGGTACTGAGGAAGTGGAGGCCATGTGGTTTGGGGGAGACTGTGTAGACTGTACCACCAGCCAGCTGGGTTCTCCCTCTTCCAGGTCCTCTGAGGAGGAGAGGGAGGAAGCAGTGGGGAAAGCGTGTGGTGAGCGAGAGGTGGTCTGGGCCCTCCACGGGCCACAGGCTCTGTCTTCCTGTCGTTATTCCCTTTCTGTGCGTCTCTCCTTCCTGGAGGTGCTTCTGTTTTCACCCCTCAAAGGGAGAATCGAGTGTCCCGGCGGGAAGGTGCCTGCTCCCTCTAGTCAGAAGGTCCCTCCTCTACCACACGTGGTGTCCCGGGCCTGTCTGCTAGAACGTGAGCTGGTTTGCAACCTGGTCCTGAAATGGGAAATGAACACACTTGCCAAACTGCACCCCATCCACGTGTGATCCCATCGCTGCGGGCTCACGTGGTCTGGAAGACTACAGCACCTCAGTTTGCTTAAGAGGCTTGTTTTTGCCAAGGTTGTTATCACTAGGCAGGCGCCAGGGCTCTGTCCCACTCAGCCCGCTCATGGCACAGCTCGCACAATGAGCCTGTGTGCTCCACTTGCAAGAAAGTTCAAAGGGAATGCCGCCCCCTCCCCAGGACCAAGCTCTCGGCGCCCTTTGATACTCGAGCCCTCCGGGCAGGTTCCGCCATTCCCAGACATGGAGAAATGTGTTGGAACTGGAGACCGGATCTGCTGCTCCCAGTCCAGGTTTCTGGTTCCGTTTCCACGGCCCCTTACACCTCATCACGCAGATCCTTTCTCTCGTTGGTTGTGAGACCCAGCGTGGTGGCATGTCCAGTCTGAGGCAGAATTGGTGTCGCCATGACGCATTCCTCCCACAAGGATCCATCCCCACCGCTGCCGCCTTCTCACTTTCCTCCAAGTGTCAGGTGCCGCTGTGGCCCCATGTCTGTGGATGCAGGCTCGGGCTCTCTGCCCCTCCTCCTGATCGCTCCTGGCAGTACCGACAAGACCTTGATGTTAACATGTTGGAAAAGGGAGTGACCAGCCCCGTCTATGTCGCTCATGGTCAGGGACGGTTTCTAGGTCTTTCTTCCCTCCTCGAAATGGAAGCCATTTGGTTAGAGGACCTAGAAGGATCCCTCTGGCTGCAGCAGCCTGTGCCCTGTGAACCTAGATTGGGTGTCTAAATCTCCCAGAGAGAATTGGAATTGCATGTTCCTCCTACGTAGCCATGATCCACTTGCGTCTCTACCGCTGCTTTTCACCCAGTCTCTGCTACTAAATCTATGAAATGTTAGCTATGACTTGGACGGCAGGTGGCATGGAGGTTAGGGAGCTGGGTCCCACACGGCCAGCCACACAGTTCGAGTCCCAAACCTGGCAGCTTGACAATCACACCAGGTGCGTGTGCCTGAGTGCCCAAAATCCCAAAAGGAGAATGGAGGAGAAGGGTTTATAGTGTGGGTATTCCCCCGCGGGATGATTTCTCACTTTCCCTCTCTGTCTTTCTCTGGCAAGTATACACGCCCTATAGTTTAAAAAAAGTTAAGAAAACTTAAGTGTTTTATCATCACCGTTGTTGTCCTGAGGTAGCACAGGACAGTGGCCAGAGCGTGGGGCTTGGTGTCCGGAGACCTGGCTGAGGCTCTGCTCTGCCACTTACTGGAGGAGGAGGTAGGTCCCGGCCTTGGAATGCCTCCATTTCCGTGTAGAGCAGGTGAAAGTGGCATCTCCCTCCAGGGTGGCTGTGTGCACTCGGGGAAGGGGGGCTGCTCAGTGGTTCTCCCGAGGCTGGCCTAACTCTGTTCTCCTTCCCTTCGCAGGCACACATTCTGGCAGTTTCGCCACGAGAACCCCAAGACCAGGGTTGGGGGCCCTCCCCCTGAGGGGCTCCCCGGTTTCAACAGTGGGTTTAACCTGGAGGCCATGCGCCAGTCCTCGCTGTACGGCCGCCTACTGGAGCCAGCGAAGGTGCAACAACTAGCTGACAAGTACCACTTCCGCGGCCACCTCGGGGACCAGGACTTCTTCACTATGATCGGCATGGAGCACCCCGAGCTCTTCCATGTGCTCGACTGCACCTGGAACCGGCAGCTTTGCACCTGGTGGAGGGACCACGGCTACAGCGACATCTTTGAGGCCTACTTCCGGTGTGAGGGCCACGTCAAGATCTATCATGGGAACTGTAACACCCCGATCCCGGAAGACTAGGAATAGGCTCACCTGCCGCACCTCCAGGGCCTCTGGATCTGCAGCCAGGGAAGAGGCTCCCGGGGATGGGCCCCGGGATGGCAGAACTCCTAGAGAGATGCTGCAGGGGCGTCCTCTGACCGAAGTGCTGTGCATCTCCTGCCCAGTGGCCACGTCTGAGGCCACCTGGTGAGGACTGGCCTCTGCCTTGTCGGTGCTCAGGACCTTTTCCCTCCATGGGCCAGGCGTCATGAAAGACAAACACAGGAACATCTCCCGAAGGCCTTTAAGCCTTTAAGCAAGCGCTGAAAGAAAAGGCAGGAAAGAAAAATGGTGCCCTTTTTTCCAGCCCCAAAGGAAAGGAAGTCCTTTCAAGAACAGGCCTCTCTTGGGCCAATTATAAATGTAATTTAAATTGACAGGCTTCCATTTTGTGAGAAAGAACAAACCACATTGCTTCAGAGCCCAGCGAGCTCTAAACGTATGAGCCAGGGCTTCCACAACCAGCCAAGAGTCTGAGCATGTAGACGAAGTCTGGCTGCTCGTCCTCACCTCCAGGAGGCTGTGCACTTATCCTTGGGGTGCTCGCATGGCTTGGGGTAGCTCTAAAGATCACCACCTCTTTGGGGGAGGCCTTTGGGACCAGTAGGGGACCCACATAAGGAAACTGGTCTCTTTGGTGTATCCCTGATTCGCCCAAGCCAGCTCCAGGTGGCCAGAGTGTTCTCAGAAACCAAATCTGCCATCGAAGAACAGCGATCGGCCATCTCCAACGGCATACGATGGGATGTCTGCGGTGAACGACTCCTTCTGCAGGGAGCCCAGCGATTCTGTAGCGCAGCTGTGTACGTAGGAAAGGGGGTCGCTCCTAGGGTTATATGCATTCCAGTATCTTTGTTTTTAATGATCGTTATTCTTTTGTCTTTCACCACGTCCGACCCCTTTCCTTAGGAGAACATAGAATGTCATATCTATGTTTCTTCTTTCGATGGGTTCGGCTGTAAGTAAGCTACAAACACAAAACTCCTGTTGATCCATTTTGTATTATAGTCCTGCTGATGTCCTTGGGAAAGAAGTGTTGTGGATTTTCATCTTCCTTCATTTCAATTTCATTTACTTCCTTTTTTCTTTACACCATGAGTGAAAATAGCTAATAAATAATCTTTTGAGAACATGGCGATTCATGTTATTCACCTCTGATCGGTTTGCAGGTACACGAAAGTTTTGGATCAGGAATGGGATCCATGTCAGTCAGAGCCTCCCACTCTCACCTGATTAGGTGAGCAGCCTCTCACAGAGGGAGGGCATACCTGAGAGGGCGACAGGGAGGGTTAATGTCGTCGTGTTTGGTTCAGAGCAGAGCATCATTCCGTTTAGGTCTCAGCAGGTCCATGTGTCCCTGGGAGCAAAGGCAACCCTGAAACGTCTCATCCTTTCTACCCTAGAGGTGTAGTTACGCCGTCCCCTGCTGAAATGGAGCACGTTTCTCTCCTAATCCGCTATGGTGACAGTCGGGCTGTTCTTTGTTACTTGGTTTCCTATTTATAGCTATCAGTCATACAACCCGCAGTGTGCCAAGCATTGCACTGGGGATTTACACACACTGTTGATAATACTCGTGAAAATCTCATGAAGGGCGTACCAATTCTACAATTTATTTTAAGAAAATATAAGAGATGCCATACACATTGTTTATCACATTTTTTATAATAGAAAAAAGTTGATAGTAACTTTCTATGTTGAATAGAGAAGTAGATAACAAAAATATGCTACATTTTGCTATATTCCACATAACAGAATACTTCAGGCATTAACACTATCATATTTTTTTAAGAGATTTTTGCCTTTGGGTGTGTATGCTCACCGGAGAGAGAGACACAATAAGAAGGAAAGTAAGAAATAACTCCCAAGTGGGGATGGCCATGCCACAATCCCTTCTCCTTCATTCTCCCCCAGGACCTTGGGCATGCACACATGCCCTGTGTGAGTTTCAAGCCGCCAGGTCCAGGACTCAAACCATGGCTGGCTATGTGGGAGTCCAGTGACATAACTGCTACACCAATGCTGGTCCCAACACTCTTATTTTTGAAGAATATTTAATCCTTAGGAAATGCTACTGTATTCTATTAAGTAAAAAAAGATTATGTGTATGGTGTGAGTCTTTATTTTCAAATGACTTAGACAGGGATTTAAAGATGTTCATCGAAAATGCTTATTATGAAAAAAGTACGCCTGAAATTAAAACTTTCTTTGCACCAAAATAAATTCACATTTTAATTTCATTTTTCCATGAACTTTCTGCAGTGCCTTGACATGTGTGTGTACGTGTAGTCACGTGCTGCTTGACGTTTTGCTCAACCACAGGTAGAACACACATAGCATTATGTGTGTGGCCCCATAGCATTATGCCACATGTGCAGAAGGGTGTTGTCTGTGCTTAAGGACAGTCTATGATGCTGGCACAGTGGCGAAGTCACCTGGTGACACATTTCTCAGCATGCATCCCATCTTTAAGTGAGGCATGATCGTATGTGTATATAGGTATATATACATGTGTGTACATAGGTATATACACACAAACATGCACACATATAAAAAGGGATCTTATTCTGCTATATTTGCCAGTTCCGCTCATTAAAAACATGTGTTTTAAACACCACTTTAAACAAGTGATGACCTCAGTGGTGGAAAAAATGTGGATTAAAGGCTAGAGAATATTAGATTCACAATAACAAAAATGTTTTTCCTACAATCATTTCCATAATTAAAGCGTTTCCATAACTGTGAGTTTATTTTGTTATTGCAAGGATAAAACAAGCAGCTGGTTGGTCAAAATGGGCAAAAACCAACCGGTATTTCCTTCTTCACCACTGAATTCATATAGCTAGGAGCTTCCCTTCTTATCACCAGTGCTGGTGTTGACCTTGCAACCCGTGGGGAATAGCAAAATAATCCTGAGCAGGAAATTCAGGCAGACCGGCCAAGACCACTGCTTTACACTGACCAACTTTTTTGAGCAACTTTCTCACAGATCTTGGAGTGCCGGTTCCTGATTGACATCCTGTTATAATTAGCTTACTGCATACATAATTAATTTTGCTCTGCTTAATTTCCTTCATGAAAACTGTCACTGTTGAGTCAAAGTACATATGCCTATACACACAAGTAGGGCAGAAATCTGAAAAAGACAACAGTTCTGGTCACTAAGGTTAAGTTGCTTTTTATCGTCACTTATATTTCTGTGTTTTCCACATTTTCCATAGTGAATATTAAATTACTTTTATAGTAAAGGTAGATAATAAATACTATCTATTTTTAATCCCACTCTCTCTCGGCAGTGACAGGTGAGTATCATCTTGGCCGTTTTACAGCTCAGGATGGCCGTGGTTGGCATCACCCAGGAGAAAACGTAATCTCGGCTAAGGAGGTTCTGGCTCTTCAACTTCCCTTCGGATGGCCTAGTTTTCTAAATTGAAGTGCTCTATTAATAGCAGCTCTAGACCCTGCTTTTATTTCTCAGACATTGGCATCTTTTGTGTGTACACAAAGTCTACCCCACAAATGGTAATGGCCCTTGGAAAGCTTGCAGGCTTGTGGAAGAGTTTTATTCTTCTATGTGTGTCAAACCAATCAGTCAATGGCGGGCACTTCAATGGCCTCTCATCAAGCCAAAGAATAACATGTTGGCTCCGTGGGCCCGCAGCCGAGAGCACACCTGGAGTTCGTAGGCGAAGGTAGCCAGTGCAGCTGTGATTTGGCACCTGCCTTGCCTCAGAGCCAAACCTCTGCTAATTTGAACACTTCCTGGCTCATCTTAACATGGGAGGTCCGGAGGCTGGGCTACATCTGGAGCGTGGAGAGCATGCAGAAATGTCCAAGCAAACTGTGGTATGATGGAGAGGGCCTCACGTCTGAAACAGCCCTGGCTTCGAATCTGTGTCAGCCCTCACCGGCTGGACAATCTGGGAGAGCG